CAGGGTGGGCGCGCTGCTACGGAGGCAGGCAGCCCCAGTCCGCCTCAGCCTCCACCTGCAGCATCCCCCACCGCGCCCCCAGCTGCCGCCTCAGGTACTTCAGGGCCTGGCTGTCCTCTGCGGAAGCCGAGACGAAAGGGCCCAGGCTGGGCGGGGCCTGTCCCTGCAGCACGCTGGCCAGGACCCCTGCGAGCTGAACTGCGGATCCCTAGACAGCGGTGAAAGCTGTGAGCTCTGGGCTGCGTCCCACTGCAGGCGTGCCTCCCCTGCCCAGCCTACCTCCTCCACCAGGGCCAGCACTCGGCCCCCTGCCGGCCCTCGGAGCAGGGTGGCCAGGAGAGCAGCCTGGGGGACCTCCAGGCCGTGGGCAGGCCCTAGCACCATCAGCGCCATGTCAGGCTGAAAGCCATAGGCTAGGGGCAGCACCAGACCCAGGATGCAGCTCAGGAACCCACCAGTCGTCTGTGGGAAGATAGCAGCAGGGCACCACCTTCACCCAGGGGACACCCCTCCTGTTGGTCCTGCCCTCCCCACCTGCTGGGCTCAGGGCATGGACCATGAGCAGGGAGCCAGGAAGGGCTGGGGCCTGGGCCTGGGCCCTCTGACCATGGCAGTGAGCTTCCAGGGCTTGCCGGGCTCCCAGCACCTGTCTGCCACTCACCCCTGGCAGTGGCATGGAGACCTGGAACATGGACAAAGCAGAAGCCTCCTGGCCCCTGATGTGCAGCCACAGGGTCCTCCTTCCAAGTGGGAGAGTGAACATGATTGGCCATATGCATGAGACCTGCTCACCTCCTGAGCCCAGGCAGCAGGAGCAGGCCAAGGGTGCTGACTGCAGGCCTGGGCTGGAGGCCTGCCTGGCACTGCTCCCAGGGGCCTGCTCCCACAGCCCAGCTGCAGAGGGCCTGTATGCACTGCTCAGCCTGCCATATGCCCGTTCACACGCGTGACCAGACAATCATACCCATCATCAGCAAGGTCCAGGGGCCGGTCCAGCTGTCCTAGGACCACACAGAGCACCCTGAAAGAAGAGCCAGCCAGGATCAGCTATGGTTATGTTGCCCAGAATCCACCCCAGATCCCCACGATGTAACAGGGTTCTGCCCTTGATGCACAGAACAGCCAGTGAGCACTCACCTCTCGGTTCTGAGGGATAGGCTTTGCTGAATAACCACGTCCAGGGTGGCTGTTGCAGCAGGGGCTGGGATGGCTACAACACCGCTGCCCACCTGCAGGGTCAGTGGACAGTGGAGGGCAAGGCATAGCCCAGTCTGAGCCAGGCAGACAGACCTGCTCTCCCTCCCTGGCTCCTGTCCAGGCAACAGTTATGGATCTCCCTTACATTCAGGTCTGCTCACTCCATGTCTGTAAATATGATGCTTAAAGCTACATCATTTTTTTTAAGAGGGTTTTTGCTATAGGGTGCGTGTGCTTGCCAGAAAGACAGAGACAGACAGAAAGCAAGAAATCACTCCCCAGAAGGGGATGGGCACGCCTTAGTCCCTTCTCCATTCTCCTCTTGGGATCTTGGGCATGTACGCACACACGCCCAGCGTGAGTTTAAGCCACCGGGTCGAGGACTCGGACTGTGATCAACTACCTGGGAGTCCAACTACATAGCCATTACACCAACTGCTGGCCCCTCTCTAAGGCTACATCTTAAATCTTCCCTTTCACCTTTTTACCAAAGAGCTTTCATTTGGTTGAGGGACATGAGGGGGGTCACAACCTCCAGACTGGACTCTTGCGAGAACAGTGCCTGCACAAGGCAGAGCCCCACGGAGAAGGCAGAGGAGGCAGGGTCTTCTAGGAGGAGCTAGGAGGACGGAGGTGGGCAGCACTGGCCTCCCCTTCCCCAGACTCTCCTCCCCGGCCCTGGGCCCAGGCCGCTACCCAGCTGGCGCTCATCTTGGGTGCAGATGCAGGCCACACCTGGGTGTTCTGCCCACCACAGCGGCTGCAGGTTCTGGCCAGCCCTGCCCTCTGTCTGTACAACCTGGCTCTCTATGGACAGGCCATACCTCACCAGCAGTCCTGGGTCCTGTCCCTGGGTCCACAGCCAGCCCCAGCCCCTCTCAGGTGCCCTCTCAGGTGCCCCTACCTGCCCATCCAGGATCCCATCTAAGAGGTTCAGGAGCTTCCCAAGTGCCATGAGGGCCTCATCCTGGGCCAGGGACCTGTGTAGCCTGTGGTGGGCAGACCATAGGGACACACAGACACAAAGTGACCCCATGTCAGTCACACACAGACACGTGACTTAGACCCACCCTCTCCCAAAACCTGCCTATCCACCTGGCCCAGGCTTCTGTCTTCTCCATCGAGGCTGACCCCTCCTGAAGGAGGACACCAGGAGGCAGGATGAGGCTGGCAACTGGTGTGGTCAGGGCAGCAGCCGTGCGAACAGGGGGTATGGGGCAGAGGCACAGCTGGCCCAGGGGACAGCTTGGCACTGCTACCGCTGCCTCACACACAGGACCTCCAGGCAGCTGTGGTGGGGGCCTCTCATCTGGGGAACGAGTGCGGGGACCCAGCAATGGGGCTGAGTCTAGAGACAGTTGAGAGTCATGCCACTGCGCTGGAGCTTCCGGTAAGCACCCACCAGCCCATGCCCAGGTAACACTGACCGTTCTCCTGGAGGCTTGTCCAGTGAGGGGCCTGGGCTGCTCGGACACGCTGGATAGATACCAGGGCGCTGCAGGTACAGGGTTGGAGCGGTGAGGCCTGGCCACACACCCCAGCCCCCCCACCCTCCCATCCTCGCACCTCTGACAGGGCACCATGGGCCGCAGCAGGGGTGGGGCAGGGTCGCCCAGCAGTGCCTGCACCGTCATGCACACCGACTGTGCCAGCGACTCCAGGTGGTAGCCGCCCTGCAAATGCACTGGGTCACTAGGGTGGGCTCGCTATCTGTGGCAGGACACCCCACACTGCACCTTGGGCCTGATGCCCAGGCTCCTGATGGGCATTAGTGTCCCAAGTCCTGGCCTGGCAATCCTTCACTCGCTCTCCCCGCTCACCTCCAGCACGGCACAGACCCGGCCGCCAGCCAGCACCTGCAGCAGGTGTGTGAGGTGGGCAAAGCATTCTGGCGTGGCCTGCATCTGCCCCTGTGACAAGAGCCAGCTGGGTTGGGGCTAGGCCAAGGACCTCATGGGCCCTCCCCAGCCAGGCCGAGCCCTCACCTCAGGGTCTCCGATGGCTGAGTCGAACCCTGCCGCAACCAGCACCAACTCAGGGCCAAACTGCAGTCAGGGCCAGGGTAGAGCCCGATGAAGGGGAGGTCAGTGTTGCCTGCCTCCATGCACCCAGTTCCTCCTAGGAGACCCTCCCTCCCTCCTCCTGCCTTCCCAGTGGAATTGCAGGCACCAAGCCCCCAAGAGTTACCTCGAAGGCCAGTGGGAGGAGCACGTGCAGAAATGCAGCCAAGTACTCAGCATTGCCCATCCCTACCTGCAGGAAGCCATGTCAGAGGCCTGCCCTGCCAACAGGGCAGTGCTGTGGGATCTTTACTCCTGGGACCTGAGCTCTGAACATTCCAGGCTACACTGGAGGCCCAGAGTGGCAGAGTGGGGAGGGGTACAGGCGGGGAGGTGGGTTGGGTGGGGTTTGGGGGCCAAGACAGGCACCTGGTTCCAGGGCAGGTTGACAGTGAAGCCACGGCCCTGCCCCCGCCCCACCACGTCTGCATCCGACTCTCGCAGGAAGGGCCAGAAGCGCCCGTGTTCATAGCGATGCCAGGAGAAGTAAAGGACGCTGAGGACAGCCAGTCAATGTCAGTGGTCAGCACCTCAGAGCTCATGGCTCCTCCCAGAACCCGGACCTGGGGCGTACAGCCACTCCTCCTCCCTCGGATCTCCCAGGCCAGGCTGCACACACCCCCAAAGGGGAGACTGCAGGGAAGGGCCGCGTCCCCATCCAGCTCACCTGGGGTCATCCTCGAAGATGTATTGGATGCCCTGGCCATGGTGAATGTCCCAGTCTACAATGAGGATCCTAGGGATGGACAGCCCCGGGGTGCCTGAGGGGGGCCTCCCAGCTCAGGCCAGAAACCCACCTGCTGCGCCCTCCCCATCTGGCCTGGTGACCCCCCTGCAGCCAGCCTGGCACACACCTGTGCAGCCCATGCTTCTGCTTGGCGTGTTGAGCTGCAATGGCCACATTGTTGAACACGCAGAACCCACTGGCTGCTGCCCGCTGGCTGTGGTGCCCAGGAGGCCTGGGAGTGAGGTAGGGTAAAGGATGGGTCAGGGTCATCTTGTCCCCTCCCAGGGCCACCGGGGGGCCAGCTCTCACCTCACCAGGGCAAGCCCGTTGCGCACAGTTCCAGCCAGCACGGCGTCCACCAGCTGCAGTGCAGCCCCCGCAGCCAGCCGAGCGCAGTGGTAGGTGCTCTGTGGGGCAGGGTGCACATGAGTCCCACCCATTCTGCACCCTCGCAGGCCAAGCCCACACCTGCTCCAGGCCTCAGGACACCACCTGCTGAGCCAGGAGTGGCAGCAAGCTGAGCGTTGTCACTCATGTGAACTCGGGGGCCCTTGGCTGGGGTGGGCAGCTGGGGTGTGGACACAAACAGGCCACATGGCCGTATCTGGGTGATGGGGGTGTGTGGAGGGCACCCACCGGGTGGAAGTAGACGGCATCGTACTGTCCAGACAGAGCCTGGAGCTCTGCCTCGCCCAGGGCCTGGGTTCCCCGAACCAGGGCCACGTACTCCAGGCTGCAGACAGGCAGGCAGTCAGGGCCGGGTCACCAACAGGGGAAAGGCGGCCAGGACCTGGAGCCCCACCCCATTGCTCCACGAACCCACTGGCCTACATAGCCAGTGGTGAAACAGGTGCTGGTAGGCTTGGGGTGGCCCCAGAGGCCCCAACCAGGCTGTCCCCAGAGGTGTGTGGCCCCTGGAGTCTGACCTGTGTACCAGGCCCAGCTCCGCCTCCGAAGCCTCCCGGGTAGATAGCCGCGTGCACCTCTGCTCCAGGCCGCACTGCCGCAGGAGGTCCAGGGCTGCGGTTAGGCGCTCCGGGCACTCGATCTGGCACTCAGGGCTGTGGCACAGAGAGCTCGGTATCCAGAACCCTCTGCCCCAGCCCACCACAGCCAGGCCACACTTACTCGTCCCAGAGCAGCCGGGGGGCTGTCATATCCTCGTGGTACACGAGTGCAGTGCCCATGGCTGGGCTGTGGTCACTACGCAACGCTTTGGGGGTAACAGGACCCAGCACTGCTCACAGGCGATCCTCAGCCTGTACCCACTTCGCAGCCCCGCAGCCCCGGGAACAGGCCAAGGCCCAAGACCTGCCCGAGACAGAACCTGGGGCGGCACTGGCCAGGACAGGAGCACACAGATCCCAGACACAAAGACCTCGGGCGGCAGGCGACACTACAACGAGGCAGGGGCACACGTTGGCGCCCAGGGCCTGCTTTCCGTAGCCCCGGACTCAGCCTGTACCCACTTCGCAGCCCCGCAGCCCCGGGAACAGGCCAAGGCCCAAGACCTGCCCGAGACAGAACCTGGGGCGGCACTGGCCAGGACAGGAGCACACAGATCCCAGACACAAAGACCTCGGGCGGCAGGCGACACTACAACGAGGCAGGGGCACACGTTGGCGCCCAGGGCCTGCTTTCCGTAGCCCCGGACTCGCACCGGGTCTGCCGCCCGCTGCTGCGAGCCCTGCCGGAAGCTGGGGCTGCAGCAGGGCGGGCGGGGCCACGGGCG